TGTTTCAGGTATTTGAAGTATTTGTATTATTTTTAGAAATACGGTACTACTTGTTGATTGTTTTTGGAGTAACTATTGGTTATAGTAAATAATATTTTGTTTGTGTTGAATATAATTTTGAAATTATAAATTTTAACTAGGAAAAGTAATTTAATTTTTTCAAACAAATAATATTAATTTCAAATGTTATTATTCTATTTGATTTTTTCGAAGGATTTACAAAGGTCAATAAAGAACTTTTTTTAAGGTTTAAAAATGGTTGAAGATGAGATTATGATCCTTGGAAAATAATGAAAACCGCCAGAAAATGTAATTGAAACCAACTAATTATTGACAACTAATTTAATAATTATCGAAGAGGCTAATTGAACCTTTGAAAAATATGAATTTTCTAAGGTTAATAAAACCTTCGAAAAAGTTTTTTCGAAGGGACCTATTTCGACACTTTTTGAACGTTGAGTAAATCTTTGAAAAAACATTTATCGAAAGTTTATTTTATACTTTTTCAAAGGTTGTGACCTTTGAGAATACTTAATTTTCTGGTAGTGGTTTGGAGGCCATCAACACGATTAATGTAACGATGGTCTATAAAAATGAAGTTGAAACTTCCTTCATTTCCATCTCATTCACATGGAGGGCGGTAGAGATTCAAATGACAGTACATTTTCTGGCCAACGAAGCTCGACTCCCTTTTTTTGTGGTTAGATGGATTTTGATGTTTCTCAACATTATTCACACTTCAACTCATTAACGAAGTATTTGCTTTTTGTTTTAAAAGAAAAAAAGAACGAAGAAAAACCTACAAAGGGAGAAAAGATAAAGCTCAAGTTTTAATTTGGTGAAGAAGAAGGTGAGAGTAAGAATAAGAAATGTCTCGTTATATATAGTTGTAGAACATAAAAAGTAAGAAATGACCCTTTATATCGTTGTAGATGATAAAGTTACTGACATTTTAAAGTTACTCTAGATTATAACTAAAAGTAAGTTATAATTTTTTTTAATTAATTCATAGGAGTAAAGAGACAAAACTATGCCTATTCTAACTTTTCACATGATTAAATAATAAAAATAATTATAACTTTTGAAATTTCTTTATTAATTATAATTTAAAATAATTATAACTTTTTGAATTAATCTATAGAAATAAGGAGAAATTTTTTCTCTATTCTAACTCTTTAGATATGTTCTAACTTTTGCCATTATTAAATAATATAAATAATTTTTTAGCACACAATAACAAATTGATATTCATTGTTACTCAATAATTAACATCTTATTTTGATGATTCAATAATTCGTGAATGGGATGAGAGAAAATTAGGAGACAAAAAAGTAAGGAGAGTGTAGGTTAGTTGGAGGGGGATGTAGACAAGAGAGGGAGCAATGAGAGAGAGATTTATATTTGAAGAGTAAAATTGCCCTCAAAGTGATAAGGAAAGAAAAATAGAATAAAATGGTAAAATCGACACAAAAAAGTTTATTATAAAACAATTTTGAAATAAAAGTTTTGAATGTGTTTGCTAGTTGATTTATATTCGGTTTATCCCTTTCAAGGAAGAGAAAAAGGGTCATTTGAGTGAATTAATTTGATTAAGAAATTTAGATGGATGGAGAAAAAATTAACCAAAGAGAATGAGAGAGTGAGAGAAAAAGAGGGAGAAATTTATATTTGAAGAACAAAATTGTCCCCAAAATCTATGAAAATGTTTAAATTAAATGGGAAAATTAGGGAGATAAAGTTTGTCCATATACCCCATTTTTATATACTAATCTGCTACCATGTGCACACACAAAGTATTTTCAATTTAATTTATTTTTATAATAACACAAATATATGAGGAAAAACAAATACCACTAATAATAAAAAAAAAAAAACCAAATTGTAACATCTCAATTGGTAAATCAGTCAATGGGAATCATATAATCATATTAGAACTTGTATTAGTAGAAATAATAGATATATCAGTCGATTTCATGGTGATATCAGAGGTATATCATATGTTAGAGCAATATATAGAGAAACTTAAGGAAACACGAAAGTAATCAATCTGAACCCCAATGGTGGCGTTGTTTCCATGAGATAATTTTCTTCTCTATGATGTTCAAGGTTTCACAAACAATTGTTATCTAGGATATGACAGATTTACCAACCTATGAATTGTCTAAGTATATATACAATCATACGGAGAAAAATGGAGGAGAGTTTTTTAAGGAATATTTTTTCTTGTTTCAAAATTGAAAAGAAACATAATTTATAAACTATTTGTGGTCATTTAAATAGTCACATCTTTTTATGTAAAGTTATGTCTTGTAATAAAAGGACATATCCGTTCATATAAAGTTTTGACTTTTATAAAAAAAATAAGTTCTATTATAAAAAGTTGTGTTTCTTTATTTTATCAAAAATTAATTTTATTATAAAATTCCAACATCAGTAGTAAAACATAGGTATATTAAGTAGATATCACATGAGTCTAATGGAAATATGAGGGAAATTAAATCCGATGTCGCATAAATCTGGCTATTGGACCTCTGTGTTTTTGAGATTTACTAACATGGGCCTCTGTTTTTTTTTTTGTTTTTTAAGAAATATTTGCTATATCTGAAATGCTAAATTTCTAATTTTCTTTAATGTTTTTTTTTAAGTATTAGAAATACTTTTGAATTTATTATATATTAGAAATAAGTTTAAATGTTATCTCGATAATGTGCTTTGTGCTTTGATTGATTGGATCTTGTAATTTTAAAGTATTAATTTTAGTTTATGCATTTTAAACTTCAGTTCACGTTAGTCTCTGTATTTTTAAAACTTCTATGTTGGTCCCTATACCTTTAAATTGATTATTATGGTCTATTCATTTCATGTTTATCTAATTATAATTTTAACATGACAATTTACTCACTAAATTTTTTGAAATATAACTATAAATTTGTATTAAAAGAATTTTCATTATGTATAAAATTTACGATAAAGTTTTGAAATTGTGATTAAATTTTCATTTTGTAAAGATGTACATAGACCAAAATAGACATTTTATAAGTACTAAAACTAGAATGAACAAAAATTGAAAGTACATGAACTTAAATAAACCAAAGTAAAAAAATACAAATACGAAAATAGTATTTAAACCTTAAAAATAAGATTATATATTTAGGATTTTTTTTTTTCTTTTAATACAACCCGTGGGAGTGGGGAATTCAAACTCATGACCCCTTGATGAGAGACAAATGCCAATTACCGTTGAACTAGGTTTATATTGGTCAAAAACTTTTATTTTTTATTCTCTTTTGGTACTATTAAAACATAGTATAACTCTTTTTGGAAGTTGGATTTATGATAGGCCTAATTTTGAAACTTTCACCTTTTGAAACATTAAAATAAAACTTCGAGAAAATTGGTGATTAACTTAAAAGAATAGAATTCATATAATTCATTAATATGTTTGGCATGCTTTAATTTGATTTCAGTCCGAAACACTTTTGACAAGAGTCAACTCATTTCACAATCCACTTATTTTGAGGTCATACTTTAATTTGCAGCCTCATTGGGTATAGGTTCCTTACTTAAATATTTGAGATATATTATTATTTGGTGATAAATTTTTATGAACCACGATGGTCTAGAGATAGAATAATTTGTCCTTAGAGAAACTTGTATATATCTCTATTAGTTAAGGTATTTATCTTCAATCAAAAGATCGAAATTTGAATACCCACCCTACATATTGTATTAAAAAACAAAAAAATTGCTGCTAGAGATGGCAAAATTCTCCAAAGATGAGAGAGGTATCCTTCCTTCAAGTGAGGATGACAAACGTGCTCTAGAGGTATCTCTAGTCTTCAGTATTATTATAAAATATTAATATTATGTGAGTTTTAATGTCTTAATTCATATATACTATGTATATATGTTATATCTAAAAACGGAAAAAAATGTATCATATAAAATTGAATTATAATTATATTAAAACTTTTTAGATTAGATAAAATTTTAACTTAAATTAATCGAGTCACATAGATATATGCAAGCTCAACAGCTAACAATATATAAAACAAGCTATTAAAAGATCGTAAATTTCAATTCCTACCTCCGCAATTTCTAATACTAGGAAAAAAAAACTATAAAAAAGTGTCAAATTGATTAGCTCAAAAAAAGATAAAAAAAATAAAATACTAGCTTTGCAAAAATAAATAAATAAATCTAGCGGAAAAGTTAAAGATCGACAAAAATTGTTTCATCCGGCTCCAATAATGCCAACAATTAATGAATCTTTCCTTTAAAAAAATTAAAAGAGAAAAAAAAAACTCGAAAAATAATATCCATCCATCTACTCTCTATGTATAATTCACACTTGTATAAATACTAGTCTATTATTCTTTTTTTATCTAATGTTTCTCTCTATGTGAGAGTGTGTTTTCTTTCTCTGGCCGCGTTGCTGAGCCTGACGAGGAATGGATGAAATCTCTAAGCTTTGGGAGGGGTTTACTCTCACCTCTGATGAATGTGAAACTATTGCGATTGATAGTGGTAAGCCGATTATGTCATCTGAGAATGTGAGTCTTTGCGTGGTAGGAAAACTTCATACCAATAAGTGAATCAGTACGGAGGCATTCCGTTCTGTGATGAAGTCGGTGTGGCAAGTTCACAAGGCGACCAGGATTGAAACCCTAGGAATGAACACTTATGTCATTTTGTTTAAATCTATGGCCGAAAAGATTAGGGTGCTTAATTCGGGCCTGTGGTCGTTCAACAATTCTGTTCTTGTTTTAAACTCACCTTCAGCGATCGACCAACCTCTCCTTATGAACTTCAACATGTGTGCTTTTTGGATCCAGATTCATAATATCCCGTTCGAGTGTATGTCCACGGACATGGCTAAATTACTCGGATCTCAGTTGGGGGAGGTTGAGGAGGTGGAATGTGAGGGTGCTGATGGTTGGGCAGGGCTTCTTATTCGTGTTCGGATTAGGATTGATATTTCCAAACCTTTATGACGTGTAATGAAAATCCAAACCACGGATGGTAAAGATCTGTGGTGCCCACTCCGGTATGAGAAGCTACCAGATTTCTGCTATGAGTGTGGGAGAATGGGACATTCAGGGCGGGAGCATGAGCAACGGCCCCCCGAGGGTACTTTTAACGGCTCTGCACAATATGGTAGTTGGCTTCGTGCCTCTTTACTGAAGAAAAACTTGATGAATCAGGATGAGGAGTGGGAGCAGAGAGGAGGTCGTTCGAGTAGGGGCTTTCAGCGTGGTAGTGGTCGAGGTGGGCGTGGGGAGTGGAGCAGAAGTGGGGAATATTGGGGGGAACAGATTCAGCCGGAACATTCTCATGGCCGGCCGGAAGATGACGGAGCAAGCCAACCGATGAACAGGGAACCTGATGCGGGGAAAATGGAAGTGCCGTTGGTGGCGGCGAGAATCATGGCTGAGTCTTTATTGCCACATTTATTACAATCTAAAGGGTGTAATGGTGTTGAAACTACGTTTAATATTGAGAAAGGAATGTCAGTTGATGTTTTAAAGGGAAGTCTTACAATCATGGATAAAAATAATGGGGTGAGCAAATTGTTGATTTGATGGATTTGGAGGTTATGGAAAGCATGCGGGAGCCAACTAATAAGGCAAAAGGGTCTTTGGAGTCATTTTGTGTGAGTGGGCCTTCTGTTGGTATTGAAATAAACAAGAGGGCGGGATAGAAAAGATTACCTCGTGAAGCCCAATTAAATTTGGGTATCGCTTATGTGCCTGTGGGGAAACGAAAGGAGTACCTGGATGATGTTGATTTAGGTATTAAAGGGGACAAACTTCACGCACGGAAGCAAAAACAAATTAAATTTGGAGTGGCAGATGATAGATTGGTTATTGGCTCAGGCCCAGAGGGTGTTTCTAATTGTTTAGCGGTAGCTGATACTCAGCCCCGCCTACCCCAATGATTGGCCTTTTTTGGAATGTTCGAGGGGTGGGGTCCCCCTAAACATTCCAGAGTTTGTACGATCTTGTGCAGGAGATTAAACCCTTTTTTTTTGTTTCTGTCAGAGACAAAGGCAACAAAAGAAAAGATGAATAATTTAAAGTTTTGGCTTGGATTTCACAATTGTATTGTCGTTGATTGTCAAGGAAAAAGTGGTGGAATTGCACTTCTTTGGCATGATGATGTGTCCTTTAATTTACTCTCCTTTTCCAAAAATCATATTGATGGTCAAGTGGAGTTTGAGGGTAAAATTTGGCGGCTTACAGGATTTTACGGCCACCCAGAGGAGGCGAACAGAGGTTTATCTTGGGACCTTTTTTGCGTTGGTTAAGAGAAAGCAATGATGATCCTTGGCTCGTTGGTGGTGATTTTAATGGTATATTGAGGCATACTGAAAAGGATGGTGGGAGAAGGAAAGACGATAGACTAATTAATTAATTTTGTAAGGCTGTTGATGACTGCAACTTGCTTGAGGTTGGTTTTTCTGGTGATCAGTTTACGTGGTGTAACGGTCGCCCTAACGGTCATACTGTGTTTGAACGTCTGGATCGTATCTTGTGCAACCCAGCTTGGATGGATTTATTTCCCAACTCGATCGTGAGTCACTTGGGGTTTAGGATATTGGATCATAAGCCACTGAAATTATTCATAAGCAAGGAAGCTCAGACCTTTTATCGTAAAACATGAAGAATTTTTAGATTTGAAGACACATGGTTAGAAGACTCGAGCTGTGACTTGATTGTTAATCAGGGATGGTCTTTTATTCCTTTTGATACTGACCCTCAAACGTTTATTAGGAAGCTAAATCAGTGTGTTCTATCCCTCGTACATTGGGGGCGCAATAAAACAGGGAATTTTCGAAATCGTCTGAAGGTTGCTGAAGTTATGTTGCAATCTGCAATCCACGATCTTCCTTTTGCACCAAATCGGGAGGCATTTCAACAGGCCATAACAAATATGAATCAGTTATTAAAGGAAGAGGAAATCTTTTGGCGTCAAAGGTCTCGGGACTTATGGCATAAACATGGGGATCGGAACACGAAATGGTTTCATACTAAAGCTTCCCACAGAAGGAGGACAAATGAGATTAAAGGGCTTCTGGATCAGCAAGGTACATGGGAGGAGAACAAATTCAAGGTGGTAGGTATGATTGAATCCTATTTCACTGAATTATTTTCTTCTTCAAGGCCAAGTGTTTCTATCATTGAGCAAGTTACTGGATGTATTGAGGCCCGTGTCTCATCTGGTCATAACTGCGATCTGCTCAAACCGTTTTGTGAAGAAGAAATGATTATGGCTCTCCATCAAATTCATCCACATAAAGCTCTAGGACCCGATCGTTTTTCAAGTGCTTTTTATAAGAATTTCTGGCATATTGTGGGCCAAGATGTTTCTTGTTGCTGTCTGAATATCCTTAATAACAGTATGGACATGAAGACTCTAAGTGAAATGATGTTAGTCCTGATTCCAAAAATTAAAGATCCTCGAAAAGTTTCTGATTTTCGCCCTATCTCTCTTTGTAATGTGTGTTACAATATTATTTCTAAGGTCCTGGTTAACAGATTAAAAAGGGCTCTAGACACGGTTATATCACAAAGCCAAAGTGCGTTTATCCCAAATCGGTACATTACTGATAATGCTATTTTGGGCTTTGAATGTATTCACGTTATTCGTTACGAATAACAAATCTGGCAATTTTGCTTGGGCAGCTTTAAAGCTTGACATGAGTAAAGCCTATGACCGAGTGGAGTGGAATTTTTTGGAGGCGGTGATGTTGAAAATGGGATTTGATTTTAGATGGGTTGAATTAATTATGAGATGTGTTCGATTAGTATCCTTTAGTTTTAAATATAATGGTGAAAAGTTGTGTAACATCAAACAGCAAAGGGATCTCAAATAAGGTGATCCTTTGTCACCTTACCTTTTTATTATGTGTGCAGAAGGTTTATCAGACCTATTGCAACGTGCTGCAGATAGAAAGGGTATTACGGGATTATGTATCGCGCGTCGGAGCCCTCTTATTACTCACCTTTTCTTTGCTGATGATAGTCTCTTATTTTTTAAGGCTCGTGGGAGGGAAGGTCAGTGTAGCAGAAATTGCTTACCGCAAGTGTACGGGTCAAGCTTTAATAAAGTTGGTAAGTGATTACCGATATCGTCCACTGGATTGGGTTTCTAGTCACTCGAGTACTACGGATATTAATGTCCAATTTTATCTAGAGAAACAATCAGAAATGTTTTGKGACACACAGAAGAGATAAAATAACAAAGTGAATAAAAAAACTCTAAGAAAACTCTTATGGAGAACGGGTCCTAGGGAAATGATTTCACCAATTGAACTTACCAGCGGACAAATTAAACATGTCGAGATTGAATATGCAATTAATCTATAAGTCAAGAAATCAAGAATCATAAAAGTCTCTCCTGAGCACAATTAATTCTCTCACTTATTAAGAAACCAATATCCCTATCTAGTTTCATTAACAACCAGGGCCTTAAGTCTTAATCTTTTAACAACCTCTAAGATAATTCTAAATCTCCCGATCTTAGAACTACCCCAGTCATGCATTCAGGTTCCAAACTAAACCACCTCTCCCGAACATGAGATTCAGATTTAGCAACAATTAATTCGTGATCAAGAGATTAAAAGCATTAAACAAATAAATGCATAAATAGATTAAAAACAAATCAATCGAGACAAATGTTAATAAGTCCAACTCATAAATCCAACGGCTACGTCAATCCCTAGAACAAGAAGATTAGCTACTCATGTTCACGAAAATACAATAAAATCCTACAAAGAATTTCATAATAAATCTAGAAAAGATAAGGGAAAGGAGAGAAACTAAAGTCGTAGTGTCGATTGACCGTCCCCGACTCAATCTCCACGATCACGAGCCCTCGAAAATCATCTCCTCATCCTTCTTGCCTCCAAAATCGAGCCCATCCTCATCAGAATCCTTTTCCCCCTTTTTTCCTCCCTCCAAACGGCGCACTCGTCTTTCTCTTTAAGTTAGGGCATCGCTACAGCGCCGTGGCGCCGTCCCAGATTTGTGACGGACATGCAAGTTCGTAGCGCCATGGCGCTACGGTACAGCGCTGCGGCGCTGCTAATTCGGGATTTTGCTATCGATTCTGACCTGTACGCGCGCCATGGCGCTAAATGGTGGCACTGCGGCGCTGATGTGGTTTCAACAAGCTCCTCTTTTTCGCTCTAGTTTCGCTCAAATGATCGCTTATTCTTCAATTCTTTCTAATAGCTTGATCCTATAAAAAAACATCAGTTATGCACGTAAATAAGCCACAAATGGCCGAAAATTGTTAAATGATTTCTACCTGAATATCATGAAATGTGGTGCATAAGGTATACTATCAGTCAGATGGTGAAGGATTGCATCAAGAAGTATAAGGTAGCTTCGGGTCAGTTGGTGAATTTTGATAAATCTGTTATAGCTTTCAGCCTGAATACCAAGACAGACAGTCAAGCCTTATTCAAAATATCTTATCTGTTAATATGGTGGAATGCCAGCTGCAATACTTGGGCCTCCCGACGTTTATGCCTAGAAATAGAAGAATGCATTTTAATTATATTAAAGATCGTGTTTGGAAGCACCTTCAAGGGTGGAAAGCGAAATTATTTTCCATTGGTGGGAAGGAGGTGCTTATTAAAGCTGTTGCCCAGGCTATTCCTTGCTATACTATGTCTTGTTTTCGGTTGCCAAAAAGGCTTATTAGAGAGTTTCATCATATTACGGCGCGATTTTGGTGGGGATCGAGTAAGGAAGATAAAAAAATTCATTGGGTGGCCTGGAATTCCTTGTATTTGCCAAAATGTGAGGGGGGAATGGGCTTTCGTGATTTGGAATTGTTTAATAAAGCTTTGCTTGCAAAGCAATGTTGGCGGATTCTTAATCATCCCAATTCGATGCTATCGCGTGTGCTAAAGGGCCGTTATTTTAAAGATTGCAGCTTTATGGAAGCAAAAATTAGTGGAAATCCTTCTTATATATGGAGAAGCATATTATGGGGTCGAGATCTATTAAAAAAGGGGTTGCGATGGCGGATTGGGAATGGTGACAGTGTTTTTATATATGGTGACAATTGGGTCCCAAATCAACCCACTCTCAAGATCCTTTCAAGTCCAAGGCTTCCTCTGGTTTCAAGAGTGAGTTCCTTGGTTGATCATGAGGAGGGTGGTTGGCAGGGGGATGTTGTTCGAGATGAATTTACTCCAGATGAGGCTAAAGGAATTCTATCTATTCCAATTGGTAGGGGTGCGGAAGAGGATAGGCTAATCTGGAACTATGAGAAGACAGGGGTGTACTCGGTCAGAAGTGGGTATAAGGTAGCTTTGCTGAATAATCCATGTGTTCAGGCCCCCTCCTCTTCATCTTCTGAGGAGGTTCGATGTTGGTGGAACGGTTTCTGGAAAATGCACATCCCTAATAAAATAAAAGTGTTTCTATGGCGTCTATGTCTAGATAGACTTCCAACAGGATGCAATCTATCTAAAAGGGGTGTGGAGATTACAAATTGCTGCTATTTTTGTGGGAGGAATGGTGAAGACAGTATCCATCTGTTTTGGATATGCAAATTTGCTGAAGCTTTGTGGATTAATTCAAAATTTGGAAAGCTATCTCCATTTCTTATTCTTCGAGAGTCGCATGAAAGTCTAAGCAAGGCGGATTTTGAGGAATTATGTGTTGTTATTTGGGGGCTGTGGAATCAAAGGAATGCACGAGCTTTCAATGATAGTACAAAAACAGTTTTTAAGATAGGAATGGAGCTTGTTGAATGGGCAAATAAATATGCTATGGAGTTTAGGGAAGCTAAATCTAATCCTATTACTGGGAGAGTTACAAATACAGCAGAGATTTTATGGCAACCACCGGACGAAGGAATATATAAAATTAACACTGATGCCTCATTTTTAGCTTCAGATCAACATGCAGGATTGGGAATCATCATCCATAATGACAGAGGGCAAGTTATGGCTGCAGCTACGAAGTACTTGGAGAATATTCAATCGGTGGATATGGCAGAAGCGATTGCTGCAGTGGAGGGACTTCAACTGGCGTCGGAAATTGGTATGCACCCAGTGATTTTGGAGACGTATTCATCTCGTATTTTCAATCTTTTCTCTTAGGCTTTGGAGGACCTGTCGGAAACGGGAGAAATCGTTTTGAAGGCGAAGAATTTCTGGACTCAATCTTTACATGCAAGTTTCAATTTCGTGAAGAGGGAGGGTAATAAAGCGGCACACATGTTGGCTCGACGGGCTCTCCTTCTTCATGAGTTTTCGATCTGGATGGAGGATTGGCCACTGGAGCTGAAGAGCTGTTTAGAAATGGAATGTTTGGAGGAGCTTCTGTAATGTTTTGCTTTCCTTTTCTTTCAAAAAAAAAATACTAGTCTATTAATTACCACATGCATTGCATACTGTATTTTTTTCATTTAATTTAAATTAATTTTATAAAATGACACTAATTATTTGGGAAAAAATAATAGTAACCAAAGATAAAACTAAGAATGTGTCTATATAGTTGCTAGACAAATACCATTCTAAATTTAGTTTGGTAATTGTTGGACAAACACCATTATACAACTTCAAGTGAGAAATTGTAACGTCTTAAGCTAGTGGTGAAAGAATGGTGGAAAAGTTGTACTCAACCCAAAAAAAACAAAAACAGAATGGTTGAAAAGTTTTTGTTATAGTGAGTTTTCATGTAGAAATTTGAGCTCCTGGGATTCTGCTAAATTCGTACCAATCTTCTAGAATATAAGGGACCGACGAAATCTACAAAACCAAATAGCACTGAGTATCGGTGTGCCTCTTGCCACACAGGCTCCAATGCTTAAGTCAGAATTGGAGTAATTGGGTATGGAGGGTAGGATATTTCAGCGTACCTTTAGGGTTCAGCTTCCTGTTATATTTATAGAGGTCGAATCTT